TCGAAAACTTCTGAGTTATAGCTAATTTTTGTTCCCACTTATGTACACGTAAATTATCTAAATCGCAATTTGAACTTGTGGATGGAGCTAAATTTCCACTAATGTTGTTTGGTTCTGGTTCTAGATTGTTAATATCGGTACGAAGTTTAGAAAATACCTGTGAAGTAATAATTGCAAACTTTTTTCGTTTTATATAAAATATTATTATTTAATAGTTCTCAGCCAGTTATTTTTAAAAGTGCTTACACTATTCTCACATTCAATCAATTTTTCACTTCCTGTGGGGGGCGAAGTATCCATAATCTCCTCTGGTTCCTAAAACATCAAACAATAATAATAGTATTCGCATGTTAGTATCCCATTTACTGTATGCTGTTTTGATATAATTATATTAAATGATACGTAATTAAAAATAAAATTGAACATAATAGCTGTATTCTTACGATGTATAAAGTAGGAATTGCATTTAATTTCAGCCTTCGGCATTTCCCTTCGTTAACAAAACAATGTTTGGAGAAGAGTTTTGAGCAAATGCGGCTATTCTTTGTCCGTGGAATTACTCTCAAACAGTATTTTTATAATTCTTTATCATTTTTAGGCATACTAAAACAACGAAAATATAAAGAAGAATGTCGATATGGGGTGTCGACTTTGCCGATATTCCTTAAAACCGCATAATTGTTTAAAATAAATTTTATATTTCAATGTATTTTAGCGATTATATATAACAAATATCGTCATTTATACAAAAAACCGACTTGTTATTTTCAAAATAACGTGAAATACAATTTACTTACAGTTATAATGTAATTTAATTCTTGGATAATAAAAACATACACACCGGTAGAAGTTCACAGAAACATGTTCCTTACGGGAAGAATGGGATTTGCATCCTAGTATCTCTATTGGTATATTTTATTTAAAGATATAATTTTATAATAATATTTTTAGTAAAATATTAAAGACAACAGACGTCAAACATCACAATAAATAATACGACATAATTAAAATTACAATTTTTTGTCAAATAAACCAGTACTATCTTGGACAAAATAAATACGATCTTTTAACTTTTCTATTTAGTAGTTTTAAAAGAGACCAAAAATGACCTCTTTACATTTCTTTTTCCACGCATGAATTATATACGCAACATCTTTCATTACATTTGTCACTTTTTGACTTATTTGAAAATCAAATATGAATACGTATGTATGTAATTACTCTAAGGTAGGACCATAGATGGTACCAATAATATCTGTAATACCTGTCTTGTGTAATTTACTGAAACATAGTAACAATATTTAATCTGTGCTGAAAGTAAGACTGACAAAATCGAATAAAGAAGGGAAAACCAAACTGGGTACAATAATTTATTCTTTAATAATATGCGAAAGAGTTTTACGTACTAACAAAATTTTTTTTTTGTTGGTATTGCACAATTTAGGAACTAATATTTTTGAAAACAAAAGCATGAACACATAAAACTTAGAATGCAAAGTTACAGCCTGAATACGTACCACTGCTGGGCAAAGGCTCTCTCATACATTACTGCGAATTAGAAATAGAAATATTTTTTTATAATTTCTCAGACATGAAGGTTTTCTCACGACGTTTCTCTTTATCGCCAAGCACGTGGTAAATCTGCATTTTGAAATTGCAATTAACAATTTCATTAACGTCGGCTGGGATCGAATCTGGGTTACTCCTGTACTGTGAAATTTACAGCGAGCCTCTAACCTACCACAGCTTGTTCTTGATGTAATAATGGTGACAAACGAGAACACAGTTCACCAATGGTAAGTGGATGCTGTGGCTCATAGACAGCTAGGTAGGATTAAGAATCAAAATGCAGATGCGTTGTCACCACTGAGGACTACGCTGGCACGCATCGTTTCCAGTAATTAGGGTCTAACTAGGGTAAAAAGGGTCTCCGGTTCTCTACACTCACCATACGAAACACAATAAAATAAAGCTGATATTTTACGCTGGTATTCTGTGAGAGCGTGGTCTTACCCCGGTTGCGCCGACCCATTCACTGCCACAACCATAATGTGGATGCAGTACGGCACTACCACGTAAAATATCTAATAAAACAGTGCATAATAACACAAATAAATCTTTAATACATAGTAACAGTTGATAATCAGGAGGTAAGGCCAGTTCCAGTCAGGTCAAATCTATAGACTCCAATAATGTTTTAGCATATATTTAGAATAGTATTCTCTAATCTATAGGATTTGTGAAAGGGTGAAAGCATACAGAAGGTAAAGTTATGAGAACTCATTTCATTAGGTACTAGAAGAAGCTTAGGTGGGGCTGGTTAATACTCGTATTCTAGCTTAAATGCCATCATAGACGGTATGTGGCATACTGCTCTTATTATGAACAATCTGTAGGGAAAAAGGTCATTTAAAAACAAAATTTTGATTCATGTTGCAAAAGTTGGGTTTCGTATGGTGAGTTAAGAGAAATGGAGACTTTTTTATGCAACGTTTCGATACACGCCGAGCAGACGAATGTCTAATAGAGTACGAGTATGTAAAACGCCTTGTTTGGGTGTTCTTGCTACTCGGCCCGAGTTCCGCCTGTTCTCCATTCGATGTGTTTTTGACACGAGTTTCCAAAAATTGCTCGTGTGTATTCGTATCGTTGTTTTCCAAAGATATTTTATAATAAATATTTATGAAAATAAATATTTCACCATCATCATCATCATTACAGCCCTCATCAAGTCCACTGCTGAACATAGGCCTTCTCCAAGTAATGCCACAAAGCACGGTCCTGAGTCACCTGCATCTATCTATTTCCTGCATGTTTTGCCAGATCGTCATCTGGTCTAATTTACTGTGTAGTGGCTACTACACAGTAAATTCAGCGTTATTTAAGTTAAGCACGGGAGGATAATGACCTACAGACAGCCGGTGTAGGTCATATTTTCCCGTGGGTGTCGTAAAAGGCGAAATAGGGAAAAATCAGGACGTGGGTAGCAGCCTCCTCCTAATAACTATTTACTAAAATAAAACACTGCGTTGTTTTTTTTTATAAAATAAGGGTGACAACTGACAACCGAGCTCACAGTCCATCTGATTGTAAGTGGATACTGTTGCCCATAGTCATTTAACCTTGATTAAGATTAAAAATGCAGATTGTTGTCGCCCTTGAGGACTAAGAATGCCTCGATTCCAGTAAAACGGGTCTCCGGATCTCTAAGATAATTTTAATAATTAAACTATATTATATAATAAATAAAATAAAATAAAGTAAAAGTAGTCCTCAGACTAAGATGGAATGCTTCGATTTCAGTAAAACGGGTCTCCGATCCTCTACACTCACCATACGAAGCACAGCAGCATTAAGCTGCTATTTTACGCTGGTAATCTGTGAGAGCGTGGTCCTTTCTCGGTCGAGTCGGCCCATTCGTATAACAACCATAACATAGCTCTATCACATATAGTTATATATAATAGGTATATAATATAATAGGTTGCCAACGCACTTGCCAAGCGTGGCAACTATGGCCAATATCCCCCTATGAGGAAATCCATGCGAGACTTATGTTCGGCAATGGACTTTAATAGTCTGTAACGGTAAACAGCGCTGAAGTGAAACGTTGGCTTAAGTTATGTCTGTCTGTACACTGGTTTAATAAGCGCCTGATAAAATTATTGCGCAACAATAATTATTAGTAAACTTAGAACTAACTAAATACATATCAGCAAATATGCGAACATTAAAAAGGGAACGTGTGCGCGGGTAAATGATTATTTTTGTAAATAGGTTATACTTTAGAGGTGTAGATTAGGAGATGAAATTATTAATGTAATTCTTTAGTTGATATTCTAGTATTTAGGTATTTTGAACTTGTGATAATCCTCCTCGTTGGTTACTGATAGTGAGGTCCCGGGTTCGATGTCCGTATCAGTAATTGGATGGTAGTAGAGGATGTAATTTTTTAAAGGCCATGCGTTGACATTCCGAGAAGCTGTTTGTCTGGAGATTTTGAGTTTTATCGGGAGTCTGGAGATCATTTAAAATGTCGGGAGAATCCAGACGAACCCCGACCTTCTGGCAACCCTAAGTTGGGACCTTAATTATTCTTTACACTATGTCTTAACATCAATATTCTGTAATGTCACTAACATTAGAAAATATAAATTATTAGCCTTTACGCTTTCAACAGTTTGATCCGGCACTGTCCGTGGAATGTGGAAATTGTTTTCTTCTTATTATTTATTTGAAGTCAAATTTAACTCTTTATTGAAACTTCATTTTTTGGTTAACATATGGATATAACATCTCGTAGTAATAATAAAAAAAAGCGGCCAAGAGCGTGTTGGGCCACGCTCAGTGTAGGGTTCCGTAGTTTCCCGTCCGTCACAGTAAGTGTTCCCACTTATGAGTTTGTACAAAAACTGTTGTTTCCATCCAAGTTCAAAATAATTTTCCTAGAAAGTCCTTATAAAGTTCTAATTTCCAGATTTTTTTCATATTTTCTAAACTTATGGTTCAAAAGTTACAGGGGGGGGGGGACACACATTGTTTTTTACTTTTGGAGCGATTATTTCCGAAATTATTGACATTATCAAAAAATGATTTTAGTAAATCCCTATTCATTTTTAAATACCTTTCCAACAATATATCACACGTTAGGGTTGAAATTAAAAAAAAAATCACTTACCACTTTACATATAGGGGAGCTACCCTAATAAAACATTTTTTTCCAATTTTTATTTTACCAATTTGTCGGCGTGATTGATACACATATTGGTACCAAATTTCAGCTTTCTAGTGCTAACGGTCACAGAGATTAAGCGAGGACGGACAGACGGACAGACAGACATGGCGAAACTATAAGGGTTCCTAGTTGACTACGGAACCCTAAAAACGGGCAGTAATCATTACGATTGTTTTATGAGAAGTTTATAGAAAGTTTCAAACTTTTGAAATATTATTAAAAATATTGAAACTAAAATAATAACTACATATAACTATCAATTTCTTTAATTAGAAACAGCTGTTGCCTCAATCCACCTAGCGTAGGAAGGCACACGTGTATTAATATTAGGATGTCCTAGTTCGCAGCCCTCCATCCTCGTGAACACGCCCACCACCACTCCATTATGCACTAAGGGACTACCACGGTCACCCTGAAACAACACAAAAGGTGTTATAGAGGCTCTTTCTGCAAATATTAAAAGTTCAGTTTTTTTTCTCATTATTTATACATTGCATATTATAACCTATTAGTTTCTATGACCATTCATCGGATTACGATAAAACTTTAGTAAGATGATGTTTGCGCGCCTATAAAGTTTTCAGATAAAAATTAAAACACGGCAACATAAAGGTGGCGCTTGATAGGAGCATTTGCTCGATCTGATTATTCGCATCAAGAATTGGTTCGTTCTGAGCAAAAATGCCAATGACACCCGAATCTTCCCAACGAATATATGCTTAACTTTGCTCCAGTAGTTGTAGTCAAAACCGCTGACGTAGAGTGTGCTGCGTTTCTTTTAATGCGTTATTGGTACTCTAAAGAAGAAGAGAAACCGTATTTGAACAAAAAAATTATTGTTCAAAATGAGAAATAAAGCTGTCTGATTGTATAAAGTTTTCCTGGCTCTACTTCATTTTACCAAACGCAAAAACACAACGACATAAACGGAGTAACGAGTGCGCTCTCGGCGGCGGCGGTGCTCGCGCTAGCGACTGTCTTTTTTTTATAGAATAAGGATGACAAACGAGCACATAGTCCACCTGATGGTAAGTGGATGCTGTGGCCTATAGACATCTACATTTATCTTCGATTAACAATCAAAACGCAGATGCGTTGTCACCCCTGAGGACTAAGATGTAATGCCTCGTTTCCAGTAAAAAAAGGATCTCCAGATCTCTACACTTGCCATAAGAAACACAGCAGTATTAAGCCCCCATTTTACGCTGGTATTCTGTGAGGTTGTGGTTCCTTCCCCGTTTGGGCCGACCCATTCGTGCTACAACCATAATATACCCACAGCGTGGCTCTACGTCGTGTAAAATTTGTAACGTTACGTTACTTGTAATGTAACATTCGAAGGGATTCGCCAAAAAGCGACAAACAGTTGAAGCGCGCTCGGGTGTTCGGCGCTCATCATCGAGCTGCTCGGCTCGGTGTTTTGACATGCCGAATATTCGACATGTAACGTGCTCACATCGAACAAATGCTCACGTCAGTCGCTACTTGCTTTTATTTGGTATTTCACGATGGTACTGTGACCGCGTGGATCTTCCTCGATGGAGCCAACCTATAATCTATTCCTGCTTCTAGCCGTACCTACCACGTTGCATTTACTCATCTACACCTTAAAATTATAATTCCAGAGTGAAAACAATAACAGTGTGGTGGCGGTGTAAGAAATATCCACTACCACATGTCATCCCGTGGGTGTCGTAAGAGGCGACGAATGGAAACAAATCAGAAGATGGCCAGCAACGTCTCCCTAATAACGACTAAAACTAAAAAAGCTTTGGTTGGCAACCCGCTTGCCAAGCGTGGCAACTACAGCCTCTACAGAAAACAATAAAGTATGTAAGTATATTTTTTTTTTTTTTTTTTTTTTTTTTGGGGGGTAATATTAATGCAACTGCTGATCATGAGGTCCTGGGTTCGAATCCCGGTCGGGCCTAAAAATCAATTATTGAGTTTTTGCGTCAAGAAATTCTCAGTAGCTGCCCGGAGTCAGGAAGTTGGCGGTGTCTCAACCCCGAGTCTCGGAAAGCACCTGTAGTAAAGCACAAGTGCACCTGTAGCTCAAGTGGTAAGTGCTCGCTGTATTTTTCAAAGAACACGAACAACCTGAATTCTACTCATCATTGGCATCAATGAAGTTGTTAAAATTGCAATTTCCGTGCTGATTCACCACGTGCTCGAGTGCTCGACGGTGAAGAAATCTACATGTCTGAGAAATTGAAAAAAATAGTAATATTTCTGCAATATGTGTAATTTTAATTTTTACCTGACACTGTGCTCTGATGGCCTCGTATGGTGGACCTGTGCACAGCATGGTGCTTGTTACAGCGAAACCCAGGTCACTGTACCGGTTGGCACAAAACTGCTGGTCTACTATCCACACTTGCATTTCACGAAGCTGTCCAGATGATTGCGCTTGCTTCAAATATTAAAAGTAATAGAATTAAATTCAGTCCAAACATATTTTTATTAGTGTTTACAATGTTGGTGTTTTTTGCGACTGCCCTACTGGTTTATGTTTTTCCGGGGGGGTTGTTAAATATGGAAGGTATCTACATGCATGTATTACACAGAGTTATGTCTCAAAGAGTAGACAAATTTTAAACTTAAGTTCAAATATATTAATAATGTTATACCGTTATTGCAGATTTTGAAAATACGAGTAAATGAGGTTTCAACTTTTATTTGTAATTCCAAATTGAATGTGATTTATTGGCAACGTTTTTGCCTACCGATCGTCCCTTACAAATGTGTGCGTGGGCAGTAAAATCAGTTAAAATAATGCATTACCACACATTTTGAATTTAAAAGATAAAAAGGGCAGAGTGTTTGATTTTTTTTTTATCAATTATTCTTTACTATTTGTCTATATTACATATTCTGAACGTTCTTTGCATATTTGGCCGACTATTGCAAAATAACCCTGTATATGTTGCTTTGTAATTTTGAGTTGTAAAGTGTCCTTAGATTTGTCTTAGTTTCCTGAGTATCATAGGCTATATTCTGTAGTGTCAAATACCAACGGGACTCGCGTAACGATGCCACCTTTGATCAATCAAGGGATTCCACATTACGCTTTCTTAGTACAATTATTAAGGTGCTTGCTTCAAGCGCATTCCGTCGAACGCGTTAAGGGGAAATATAACCTCAAATGGCTTAGCAAGATCCTCCGTTATGCCGAAAATATTGCAGCATTAATTTTGAAATAAATGTATGGTAAAGTTGAGGATTAATGTTAAGGACTATGTTAGACGAAAACACGATTCCGTAAAATTTTCTCGATAGAAAAAAAACCAAAGTTACCTCCAAAATAAACAATAAACCGCTATTATTCATAAAATACTTTAAATAAGATCATGAAACTGTGCATACTAACTGAACTAACTATAAAGCAGTGCTTATGTTATTTACTTTTTTTAAAATACCTTTCACTGTAAAAAGAAATTACCTAAACTATCGGCGTTTTGTAGTTTGTAGCTTGATTCCTGCCGCCCACCCGCCCAGTCAGTTTCGCTTCGGTCTTTGAAGGAGGTTGTGTCGCTTACGATCGGAATACACATTACGCAACAGGACGACGTAAAACTAAAATGGGAAATTACCGTAATAAAAATAAGAAGCGACTGGGTTGGCGTTAAGAAACAGACATAAATATGATAAACCTAATGAAATAAGTGTCTAACGACCTATCTACTTACAGTATTAGTGATTACAAACATGTCGGTACATAGCATACGACGCGCGGGGAAGTGGGGGCGAAATTAGAATTTGAGCTGACTTACTATATCAGCTTATCATTATAAACAATATGAAAAAAAAACTGTCCTAATCTTGTAAGTAATTTAAAGTATCATGACATAATTCTGTTTATGTTCCTAATCCTATTTCAGGAAAAAAAGAAAACCTCCGTGCCAAAAATGAAATTAAATTACCTACTTCTTACGACGATGTCGCTAAATTTTAAAAATTGGCAGAATTTTAAGCCAATTAAAAAAATGCATTTTAAATAACAGTAACTTTTTACAATAAATACTTTGATTTTGTATTTGAACTTTTCTTATACGTGGTAGAGCCATGCTGCAGTTATATTAGTAGTATAGTTGTAGCACGAATGGGTCGGCTCGACCGGGGAAGGACCGCGCTCTCACAGAATACCAGCGTGAAATAGTAGCTTAATGCTGCTGTATTTCGTATGGTGAGTGTAGAGAACCGGAGACCCTTTTTACTGGAAACGAGGCATTCCATCTTATTCCTGACGGCTGACAACGCATCTGCATTTTGATTCGTAATCGAGGATAGATGTAGATGTATATGGGCCACAGCAACCACTTACCATCAGGTGGACTGTGTGCTCGTTTGTCACCCTATCCTATAAAAAAAATATAATCGTTAATTATCGGAAGTTTTAATTTTCGTACGTTCATTGTAGCATTAATGAGTTGGCTCGACCGGAGAAGGACCATGCTCTCACAGAACATCAGCGTAAAATAGCAGCTTATTCCTGACGGATTTCGTATGGTAATTGTTGAGAACCGGTAACCCTTTGTGGTAACGAGGCAATATCGTAGTCTCAGGAGTGACAACGCATCTACTTTTTAATTCTTATTCGAAGATAGATTTAGGTGTCTTTGGACCACAGAATCACCATCAGGAGGACTGTGTCCATTATCCCTCTTATTAAAAAAAAACTGGCGTTTTATACATATTGATTGTCATGAAAAAAATCGTATGGTCGTGATCCATATCCATGTAGTATAATCTCATATGTGCAAATTGACCGCATTCAGGTTACTTGTTTTTTAATAATAATTTTACTTGATACAATGAGAAGCGGCTAACTTCACTTGTGAAGTGTTAATTTAGTTTGCAATTGTAAATGCATATTTGCGACTTTAATATTTACTTACTGAACTCTCTCCCCAGCCCAAGCCCCAGACAGCTTGACCATCAGTAAGGGGGTAAGCACCACCAGCAACGTAAGCTGTCTCCACCAGACCCGGTACCAAGATTAAATTAATCGAAGTTCTAAGTACGGCGATGTCATTAATCCTCGTGTTGAGATTGAATTCAGGGTGTCTATCGATTCTTCTGATCAAATAAATGGTACCGCCCGAGTTGCTGTTAGATGATCCAACTCTTGCGCGCCACCAAGTGACTGGATGTTCCCTGAAACAATATAGTTTTGCCCGATGTCTATATTCAAAAAACAATTCGTCATCTGTTACGGTTTGTATTATCATTAATGAAGTGGGTAAAAAAACTTATTAATTACAATATTTTTGTTTGGTAACTTACATAGATTAAAGTTATTTTATTATTTTATTTAATGTTCTAAGATGCCAAAATAACTAAAGTTATTAACACGGTATTTTTGTTTTTATTTGGTCTTTTCATGCACTTTTTGGACTATGGATGACGTGATATCAACATATATATATATATATATATATATATATATATATATATATATATATATATATATATATATATATATAAATATACAACATGTAACATAATTAACGCACTTTGAGAAAGTAGTTTGTTCAGCATCGTTTACTGATCGATTCCTATCATTTTTAATATAGGTAATTTATTATCCCAAAAATAATTAAAACTACGATAATCACAGTCACACTAAATCTGTACAGTCAAAACAAACTGAAATGGACCGTAATTTTAGGCAATAAGACTTTTAAGAGTGCAGTTTTAATTGTATTATTACTAATTCTGTCATTCAATAAAAATAAAGAAAAATGAACCTTATTTCAAGCATGTTAAAGTCTTTGCGTTCATGAATTTGTACTGTGACCACAACATTCTTCCGGAATTAGTATAACTAATTTGATAAATAATCAGTGCATAAAAATGTTTAACTAAAAATTCAGTCTATTTATTATGATTATAACATAATATACTATTTGGGGTGTCTGAGGGTGTGCGTTAATTACGTTACTTATTGTATATATATGTGTGTGTGTGTATATATACGAGTATACACACGTGGTACAGTCACGCTGCTGTATTATACTTGCACCACATTAGGCTCGGTTTGAACCATTCTTTCACAGAATTTTAGCGTAAAATAGCAGCTTAATGCTGCTGTGTTTTGTATGGTGACTGAAAAGAACCGGAGACCCTTTTTACTGGAAACGAGGCATTCCATCTCAGTCCTAAAGGCTGGCAACGCATCTGCATTTTGATTCTTAATTGAAGATGAGAGATGAGAATATGAGAGGCCAGAAAGTGGACTGTGTGCTCGTCTGTCACCCTTATTCTATAAAAAAAAAACTTTTCATTTTGATTAGACTGATTTGATTCATTTTGACATGGCTATGGACCACAGCATCAACATAATAGTCACTAGGCTGTGTGTTCGTTTGTCGTACTTACTTCTATTAAATTATCCATTGCGGCAAACCCCCGACCCATACTGGGGAGGGCTATGTCCACCAGTTGTTTTTGTTTTGTTTATATTGTTGTTTATGTGTGACCTCAATACTTACGTATTATCGTCATTATGAAAGCAAGACGCTGCGGATAAAATCGCCGAATTTGTTAGAATGGTGCCGCCACATGCCTTGTTGTAGTTACTGCTTCCGAAGCTGCATAAAAGGGCGGTTGCAAATGGATACTTATCGATAGTGGTGAGGAACCCAGCGGTAGCACCACCTGTAAAGATTTCGTTAAATTTACTATGCCACGCCTTGATTATTTTTAAATAACTTTAAAGAGAGGCTTCGGGTCGATTTGTAGTGGTGATATGGTGGAGGTTCGTCAGAATGTATGGATGGTGGACATAACACATAAATATGTCTTTAATCTCCATGTATTTTATCGCATTATATTTTGACAAATATATATATATATTTTTCATTTTTTTTTCTATATTTTAAGACTCCAAAAAAATTATCAAGCCTACGATATTAACTTGTATGAAAAGAGATTGTATAAAAAGGGTTATTATAATATGAAGGAATTTATGGTTGATAATAACCCCTGGTAATGAAGTGGTTGCTACCAAGCTATTTTTCTTCAAGTTCTTATTTTCAAAAAAAAAAAAATATTCCGCTAGGTTTCTTGCTGGTTCTTCTCGGTACAGAGGTATTTTCCGAACAAGTGGTAAATTAAATATAAGAGTGCATGTACATACAGTACATGTGACGTGGTACATACGATTCCCGCACGCGTGTAACCGCCATGCATGAACCGCTTAATGCAGCGGACGCCCTTAATATATGTAACAGACTATCTACGAGATTACTAAACAGACTTTGATAATTTTTTCATCACAAGAGTTATTTTTTTTCTAGGCAGTAGATAGGAATCCTATTCCGACTAAAACACTGTTTGGGTGGGTACCACCGTGTTGCATATCACGTCGCCAAAGAGCAGAGCTTCTACTGTTGGGTTATATCGGATCAAAGTTCAAGGAACTTCTGCAACTGAACAACATCAAATTAATATAAAGAAGAGTTATTGGAGCTGCAAGCCTGTCTCTTTACTTGCTATAGATCATCGAGTAGTTTGGTCTAATTTTGCTCACCAAACTAATAGTGAAGAATATGAAGATTTGGGAAAAATAATGTTGATTCTCTGTGGAGGGTCAGTTATAGTTATAGCACAGTAATATCACAGCTTAACTCTCTTTAAATTGTGGTAATAGTATGAGAATCACCCGTAGATGTCGCAAGGAGATGGGCAGGAAAGTGATATTAACATGCTATTAAGAATGCAATTATTCTTTCATGAATCAATACTTTCTTACGTGGTAGAGCCATGTTGCAGCTATTTGTGGTTGCAGCACGAATGGGTCGGTTCGACCGGGGTAGGAACTCGCTCTCACAGAATACCAGCGTAAAATAGCAGCTTAACGCTGCTGTGTTTCGTGTGGTGAGTGTAGAGAACCGGAGACCATTTTTACTGGAAACGAGGTATTCCATCTCAGTCATCAGGGCTGGTAACGTATCTGCATTTTGATTCTTCAGAGAATCATCTTCTGTAGTCTTCAGATCACTCAAGCCATCTAGCTTTCCAAGGTACATCGCAGCACAGCAATAATGCTTCCTGTTCCTTTAAGCTACTCTCTGCGCTATACAGTGTTCGGCTCGGTACACGGCTCTGAGCCTTACTGCTCGCCTCTGCTTCTTACCTTCTTCTCGACTCATTCCAAACTATAAGACAATCTTTGGCACTTGCACATTCGTCGACAAGGGGGTTGGGAGGGGGGATGTAGCGGCGCGTCCGTCGCGCCATAAGCGAAACGCGTTATCAAAGTTCTGAAGTTAACGCGGTATATACATATAGAACAGCTCCGAAATAACAAACAAATAGTTCTGGGAACCAATTCACCGGTCTCCAGGATTTCCCAACTATATAATAAGTAATGATTTCTTATATTTACGCGAACACTATACATTGATTAAAACTACTTTTACGGATTTTATCGCGTTTTATTTATTTTATTTTTAAAACAGTTTATAAAGTAGGTACTCCGTGTTAACTTTGACATCGGGACGTCAGTCACCTCATTCCCCCGTGAACATGGGTGCTGGAAAGCACCCGAAACGCCGGGTATTAAAAATAAAATAAATAAAACGCGATAAAATCCCTAAAAGTTGTTTTAATCAATATTTAATAAGTGTTAAGTGCAGTGGGTCAATAGATGTTTATGTTATGTCTCTAGCTAAGTTTAAGACCACAGTAAACGATACTTTATTAAAGTAACTAGGTGTAAGTCATTGTTTTATACATATAATATTACTCTGTTCTAGCGTAAGTTTTTGTATTTTATGGAACCACTATGTAACTTTTTAGTAACTGGAAGCATGCGATACCTTTAACTGATTGTGCAATTAGTATCCAAGTTAATGTGTGCTAACTATTTCTGCAATGTTACAACTATAGAATTAATATAATAATTACATACATAATAGAACGGGGGAGTGGGCGGAGCCCGCGTAGCCACTAAAATATCAGTTCACACGTATAAACGTTAACACTAGTTGTGTTTTGACGTTACAATCGTTTCCAAATTTCGCATGCATATTATTTAGAAAATGCCAAATTGCACCCTATCAACAAATAAATATGTATAAAAATTTAATGATGATCTTGAACATTAATCAAAAGTCTAAAATGTGTAAATTTACTCAGTCTGTCAACACAGCGAATCGGGTTTGGCGATCCATTATCCAATATTGTGTGTTATAGTATTTTATGGTCACAACCATAGAATACTATGCTATGTATTATAGTATTCTATGGTTACAACAATCGTTGGTGTACTAAAATAAATAAATAAATAACAACTTAAAATAATAAAAAAAGACTGTAAATGATAACCCACCTGCAAATTGTGGCTACTATGGCAAAATCCCCTATGAGACAATCTATGGGGAAGGCCTATATTTAGTAGTAGATTTTTATAGACTGGATGGATGACAAAGAACAAATGGAAATAACGGCTGGACCACGTTGCGCTAGGCTGGTGAAATTTTTAAATTATATCCAAATTGCGTTCGATCATCAGTTGATGTCAGTGATCGATTTTGTTAACGCTTTTAGTTTAAATTTTCTAGTTGTTTTATAATTAGAATTGCTTAGAGTTTCTTTGGCTCTTTTGCTCTTTGTCACATTTTCAACCAGTAATAAACGTAGGTATTTAAAATTATTTGCTCATATCTCAGATTACAGAATTAGTTATCTAAGGCTAGTTATATTAATAGATAAAGGTAATGTGTTTAAACTACTTGAACTTTTTATTTTTACAGCCAGGAAATAAAGAAATACGTTTTAGGAAACCTTGTTAAAAAGGCGTACTATATAATAAGTAAAAATTTTTTGTGGTAGAGCCTCGCAACACCTATATTATGGTAAGAGCACGAATGGATCGGCTTGACCGGGAAAGGACCTCGCTAACATAATTAGAACATACACCTTGACATCATGACTTGAATAAAATCAATATTAAATGTGGTTTAAGTACCACTAGATTTTTTTAAATGTCAATTTTTTATTACATAAGGTGGACAAACACACATAACTACGTGATGGTAAGTGAATGCTGTAGTTCAAAGACATCTACATCTATCCTCGATTAAGAATCAAAATGCAAGTGCGTTGTCATCTTTGAGGACTACGACGGAATGCCCCGTTTCCAGTAAAAAGGGTTTACGGTTCTCTACACTCAACATACTAAAAACTGCAGCATTACGCTAGTATTCTGTAGGAGCGTGGTTCTTCTCCGATCAATTTTTCTCTTCTCTCTCTTTTGTAGTACGCATTTTATAACAAGATTACCTATAAATACATACCCGATCGCTTTAAATACGAGACCTAAAAATCAAATAATTTAACGTGGTAGAGTGACACGGTAGAGCTACGATAAATATTTAAAAATATGACTGTAGTTTGCACAACCCTATGTAACCACTTACCTTTGATAATTGTAGTTAAAGACACTAAAGTTAAAACAGCACAAGCTTTCATTTTGAAGTGGCAGTACATCGGCTCGTTGTAAAATATCTTGTCTAAAGTCCTTTATCGTTCTTCTAATCAATTATCAATGAAGCAGTGGATGTGATAACATAATTAACGAACCAGCGATATCCACCCAATTTTGTTCACGTGTGAAGGTGCTACTATATTCATTTGTCGATCAATTTTCTTTTACCTTGTTGTCGCGGCGAACACAATCTTTTAACCACGATCCCAACCTGTGTGTGGTATTTTAACAACTGACTATCGGTAACACCAGGGAGGTCACACACTTCTATAGAACGAATTATGTCTTAAATTGAGATAATTAAGCAAGTGGATGAGTTCATGTAGTTGGGATGTGTATTTAGCAGGGATGGTAGATATGATAAGGATATAGAACGACGAGTAAATGCAGGGAATAGAGTGAATGGGGCACTACACTCTATTAAGAAGAATCAGAATGTGTCAAAAAAGACACGTATGGTAGATGATAATGCTGTGTTAGTCACTACTTTAATGTATGGTAGTGAAAGTTGGGTGTGTCAGAAGAAGCACAAGAGTAGAATAAATGCAGTAGAAATGCGGTCTTTGAGGAGTATGCTAGGGTTAAATCTGAATGACAGGGTGAGAAATTGCGTGATAAGAGATAAATGTGGTATGCAAAATGATGTTGTGACCAGGATTAAGAAAGGAATGCTTCGGTGGTTTGGTCGTGTAGAAAGAATGAATGAGGAAAGAGTGACAAAGCTTTATATGGCAGATGTGAACGGTAGAGTCGGGAAGGGACGCCCCAGAAGATGATGTACCTATTTTCTGATCACAGAGAAGTGTTTGGCTAAAATTAGAAAGGTTTTTGGACTTAGAATAAAATACAATTACCGCTAATTTACTTTAAAATTACATTACCTGATTTCCGGTTACACAAAATATACAATTCGTTATTGGGTAGCGGCATACGCTTTTATAACAAGATTCCAGAAGAAATGTTAGATCTTTCACCTTTTCAATTTAAGTCGCACATTAAAGCTTGTTTAGCCAAAAAAGCATATTATTCTGTAAATGATTATCTTAATCACAAAAATGCTTGGAAGTGACCTCTCGTACTACACATGACTATAAGTTCTTGCCAAATCGACTGAGAAAAACGGAAATTGACCTTTTATGTCGTTTAACAGTAGTTAGGTTGTACCAGTTCTGGCGCACTTGTAGAAAGGTTGTACCAGTTCTGGCGCACTGAGTCAGAAGTCGTACAAGTACGACGTGCGTCGACTCACGATCCTAAAAAAAAAAAAAAAAGGTTTTGGCATGCTCTGATCACGAATCTGCGGTCCATTTTGAGTAGGATGCACGGTTTCGGGGATGTGCAGATCAATTAACTCTTATCTAATTGATATCCGCTGCGAGCCTCAACCGTCATTAGCGCTCCATTGTCCTTATCTACTTATCTATTGTTGATTGACTACCGTCATTATCTATTATTCGTCAGCGTGTGGGTCGGCTTATGCTATTGTATTATACTCCTTTGTTCCTATCTACAACACTAATCTGAATCATCAATAAAACACATTACCGAATTTTGTTAAAATTTTTATTTATAAAATACAAAATCTTATTACTTATTATCTATCAAATAGGAGCGAAACATCTCATCCACTAACATATCGTTGTACAATGTGTTCTCTGTAAATATACTCGTAAAACTATGCATTGAACATCCCTGAAACTTATATAGCAAATACATTAAGCAATATTCGCCACAAACTGAAGTCCTATCAACATTCCAGTTAAATCTTTTAAACACATTACCTAATTTTGTTAAAATTTTTATTTATAAAATACAAAATCTTATTACTTATTATCTATAAAATAGGAGCAAAACATCTCATCCACTAACATATCGTTGTACAATGTGTTCTCTGTAAATATACTCGTAAAACTATGCATTGAACATCCCTGAAACTTATATAGCAAATACATTAAATAATATTCGCCACAAACTGAAGTCCTATCAACATTCCAGTTCCATCTTTTACAATTTCGTACAGGTGCCCGTCCATATGAATCAAAATATTCACCGACGTCATTCGTATCGATATATAAAGCTACCCAATGTGACCCTGGTTTATCATCTCTACCCAAATTGCATATTACCTAGTCAGGTCATAAATTCTATCACATGTTTAATGTAAAATAATTGAAACAAGTTTATTCATTATGTAACCATTTATATACTGAATATAAATGGTTACATAATGAATAAACTTGTTTACTACTAGAATGTGAGATAAGGTTGTTGACGCATAAAGTTATTATCAATTCTACTGTAGAAATTCTTTAGATTAGAATTATTACTTACTGGTACTATATAAGACCAAGCAACTGCAGTCATGGAGTTAGTGTATGGTCGTTTGACCGCAGTGTATCTATCAATAATACATTTGCGTTACTTCAACGCATCAAAGGCCATAGATGTAAGTGTTTAATCTATTGACAAACTTACTTTTCTTTCTGTTATTTTTTACGTGTGTATGATTTTGAACGACAGGCCTGTTGGTCTAGTGGTTAGTGACCCTGACTGTTATGCCGGAGGTCGTGGGTTCGATTCCTACCCAGGACAAATGTTTGTGTGATGAGCACGATCATTTGTTCTGTGTCTGGGTGTAATTTATCTATAATATTTATGTATTTAGAAATATATAAGTATGTTTATTAGTTGTCTAGTACCCATAACACAAGCTCTGCTTAGCTTGGGACTAAATGGCGTTGTGTGATATTTGTGGAATATTATTATTATTTAGTGTTAACAAATTATATTTAAATATTTTGTGTGTGTATATGATTAAGTCGTGGTAGCTCAGATGGTTAGCGCAAGCTGTAAATTTTACAGTACGTAACGCGGGTTCGATCCCCGCCGACACCAATTAAATTGTTAATTGCAATTTTAAGTGTTTATTCTATTGACACACTTACTTTTCTTTCTGTTATTTTCTTACGTGTATATGATTTAGTGTTAACAAATTATATTTAAATATTGTGTGTGTATATGATTAAGCCGTGGTAGCTCAGATGGTTAGCGCAAGCTGTAAATTTTACAGTACTTAACGCGGGTTCGATCCCCGCCGACACCAATTAAATTGTTAATTGCAATTTTAAGTGCTGATTTACCACGTGCTCGGCGGTGAAGGAAAACATCGTGAGGAAACCTGCATGTCTGAGAAAATTTCGAAGGCATGTGAAGTTCGCCAACACGCATTGAGACCGCGCCGCGGACATTTCCTAGCCATAAATACAAAGACAATAGCAGAAAGTAAAAAGTTAAAAAATACTTTTTTAACAATGACAGTCATTAGTTGATCATTAGTAAATGTGATTCTGTTTTCTTAAATTACAAGAAGAAAAGAGCAGAAGGAAGAAATGGGGTGATGGGAAGTAATGAAGAATGAATTGTTATGTGAAGTTTGTTAGAACAAACATATTTTAGTCACGTGTAAATACTTTTAACATTTTGGTTCAAAATGACACAAAATCTAAAAAATATTAGATACATCATCGACATGGATGGATTTTACATTACATATCCTCATAAACATTTTCAATGTAGGGAAATGGCTATTCTAGACGTAAAACTATCTAATAAAAATGATTCGTTTATCGATCATTATTTGTTTCGGCCAAGTTATCCTTTCAATTATTTGTCGCCAAAAGACAAAAAAACTGTTCGTTATTGTGAAATACACGTGCACGGAATTCCATATTTTGATGTGACCGAAGAATTAAAATGTGCCTACAAACAAGAGAACATCATTCCCATATTAAATTGGTATATTAGAAATTTGTGCAAAGACGAAGTGATCGCATACAAAGGTGGTTCAACAGAAAAACAATTTTTAAAAATGTTGACGACGAATGATAGAATTTTTAATATTGAAGAATACAAATGTCCAAAATACAATGATTTGGTAAATGTCATAAATTTAAACAAACGTTATGTGTGTAATAATCATATATTTGCAAAAAAATAATCACAAAATTTTACATTGTTCTTCAGACGAAGTGTTAGTTTTTTACAAGTGGTTATTGCTTGAAAATAAAATTTTAAATTAATCATAAATTTTGTTTGATTTCCAAAAAACATTAGTTATAGTATACTATATAATACAAAATTGGTTCAACAGAAAAACAATTTTCAAAAATGTTGACGACGAATGATAGAATTTTTAATATTGAAGAATACAAATGTCCAAAATACAATGATTTGGTAAATGTCATAAATTTAAACAAACGTTATGTGTGTAATAATCATATATTTGCAAAAAATAATCACAAAATTTTACATTGTTCTTGTGACGAAGTATGGGTTTTTTACAAGTGGTTATTGCTTGAAAATAAAATTTTAAATTAATCATAAATTTTGTTTGATTTCCCAAAAACATTAGTTATAGTATACTATATAATACAAAATTGGTTCAACAGAAAAACAATTTTTTAAAAATGTTGACGATGAATGATAGAATTTTTAATATTGAAGAATACAAATGTCCAAAATACAATGATTTGGTAAATGTCATAAATTTAAACAAACGTTATGTGTGTAATAATCATATATTTGCAAAAAATAATCACAAAATTTTACATTGTTCTTGTGACGAAGTGGGGGTTTTTACAAGTGGTTATTGCTTGAAAATAAAATTTTAAATTCAATCATAAATTTTGTTTGATTTCCCAAAAACATTAGTTATAGTATACTATATAATACAAAATTGGTTCAACAGAAAAACAATTTTTTAAAAATGTTGACGACGAATGATAGAATTTTTAATATTGAAGAATGTAACATTTTGTGATTATTTTTTTGCAAATATATGATTATTACACACATAACGTTTGTTTAAATTTATGACATTTACCAAATCATTGTATTTTGGACATTTGTATTCTTCAATATTAAAAATTCTATCATTCGTCGTCAACATTTTTAAAAATTGTTTTTCTGTTGAACCAATTTTGTA